GGAAAATTTACTTCGACTTGCGACCAACTCAACTTGCGATCAGAGTCACGGAACGGATTAAGTTCGTAAGTAGAGGTACCACTGTATATACATTTGATAAATTAATATCTTAATTAATTTAGCTTTGATTCAGACTTATTTAACAAGCTGAGTGTACAGTACAGAATGCAAGAACATGATATATTATTGATACCACTTTTTGGAAACTTAATTCCATATAAAAGATAAGTGAAGACAGCTGGATGCAGTTTTTCCAGAGTTCTATTAATCCACCAACTTGATGTCTAATTAAATTATTTATGAATCAACAAAGCTAATATATATATATATATATATATTTTACAACCTCATTACTTTACAGATTTTAGTCCAGAGTAACAATCTTGCTGATAAGATCAGTGTTCTCTCAGGAAAAATTGAGGAAATCGCCCTACCTGAAAGTGTAGATGTTATAGTTTCTGAACCAATGGGTTACATGCTGTTCAATGAAAGGATGCTGGAAAGTTACCTTCACTCCAAGAAATGGCTGAAGTCAAATGGTGAGTCTATATGTTTGCAGATACTGAGGGTCTGCATCTCACAAACAGATCTCACAGACAGAAGCATAATTCACAGTTTATGGGATATAGCCACTAGTAAGAGAGACTGCTAGTTTCCTTTTGGCATACAGTATTACATAATAATTGCTTTTTACCTTCTGTCTGATCACCCATAGTTATCTTGATGCAGTAGATAGACAATGTGATTCTATTGCACCCAGCAGCCCTATCCCCAGTTTTATGTCCAGATACCAAGATATCTTGGTTTCCAGACTAGATAAAAATTGTAACTCAAGTCAACAAAGTAATAATGGGATCTCCCAGTCTCTTTCTGCCCTGGTAGCATCAAAATATGGATCAACAGGAGGTAGAGGAAAAATAATTTTAAATCCTATTTAAAACTTGTATAACACAGGCAAGCTTTCTCTATAAAGCACCAGTTTAGAGAATACAGTAAAACCTTGGTTTGCGAATATAATTCGTTCCAGAAACATGCTTGTAATCCAAA